ATAAATACTAATACTGTGTGAAATGATGAGCAATACATTCAGGGAGATTAACAACGTGATCATGTGAGCATTCAAAAACTGCATAAAGTATTAAGAGGAATCATAGAATCACAAGGTTGGAAATAACCTATAAGATCATCTACTCTAACCGTCTCCTTATCACCATTGCCACCACAAGCACTAAACCATATCACACAGCACGTCATCCAGATGCCTCTTGAACACTGCTGGGGACAGCGACTCCACCACCAGCCTGGGCAGGACATTCCAGTGCCTGACCACTCTCTGAGATAAATACTTCTTCCTTATGTCTAATATAAACCTCCTCTAATACAACTTGCAGCCATTACCCTGTGTCCTGCTCGTTGCCTGGGAGAAGAGGCCAAATCCCTCTTCACCACAGCCTCCCTACAGGAGGTTATAGAGTGCAATGAGGTCTCCCCTGAGCCTCCTCTTCTCCAGACTAAACAATCCCAGCTCCCTCAGCCGTTCCTCATAAGACGTGCTCCAGACCCCTCACCAGTTTTGTTGCCCTTCTCTGGACACATTCCAGGGCCTCAATGTCTTTCTTGTAGTGAGGGGCCTAAAACTGAACACAGTACTCCATGTGCGGCCTCACCAGTGCTGAGTAGAGGGGGATGATCACCTCCCTGCTCCAGCTGGCCACACTATTTCTAATGCAGGCCAGGATGCCATTGGCCCTCTTGGCCACACTGTCGGCTCATGTTCAGCCGAGCATCAACCAACACCCCCAGGTCCTTCTCTTCTTCACACTCACAGCCACTCTTCCCCAAGCCTATAACGCTGCATGGGGTTGTTGTGCCCAAAGTGCAGGACCAGGCACTTGGCCTTGTTAAACCTCATCCCATTCACCTCAGCCCAGCGGTCCAGCCTGTCTAAATCCCTCTGAAGGGCCGCCCTACCCTCAGGCAGATCGACACCACCTCCCAGCTTGGTGTCATCTGCAAACTTGCTGAGGGTGCACTCAATGCCCTCATCTAGGTCATCAATAAAGATATTAAACAAGATGGGCCCTAGTACTGACCCCTTGGGGGGACACAACTTGAAACAGGTCGCCAGCTGGACTTCACTCCATTCACCATAACCCACTGGGCATGGCCCTCTAGCCAGTTCCTTACCTAAAGAAGCGTATATCTGTTCAGACCACGGGCAGCCGGTTTCCCCAGAAGAAGCCTGAGAGGGACCGTGTCAAAGGCCTTGCTGAAGTCTAGGAAGACTACATCAACAGCCCTTCCCTCATCTACCAGACTGGTCACCCAAGTCATAGAAGGAGATGAGGTTGGTCAAGCACGACCTGCCTTTCACAAACCCGTGCTGGCTGGGCCTGATCCCCTGGACACCATGCACATGCTGTGCAATCTCATCCAAGATGATTTGCTCCATAACCTTCCCTGGTACTGAGGTCAGGCTAACAGGCCTATAGTTCCCCAGATCCTCCTTATGGCCCTTCTTGAAAATGGGAGTCACATCAGCAAGCCTCCAATCCTCTGGGACCTCACCAGTTAACCAGGAGCATTGATAGATGGCTGAGAGGGGCTCAGCAATCACCCCCGCCAGCTCCCTCAGCACCCGAGGGTGCAGCTCTTCCGGTCCCATGGACTTGTGCCAGTCCAGATGGAGGAGGAGCTCTCTGACTGTCTCCACGGGAATTGCTGGGGGCATTTTCTGTGCAGTGTCTCAGACTTCCAGATCGGGGCATAAAAAGCCCAGAGGATAACTGATCTGGCTGTTAAAGGCAGATGTAAAGAAGGCATTGAGGACCTCAGCCCTCTCCCTGTCCTCAGTGACCACGTTCCCTGCTGCATCAAGTAGAGGATGAGAATTATCATTGTTTCTTCTTTTCCCGTTGATATATTTATAAAAGGATTTTTTTATTGACTTTTACTGCAGAGGCCAACCTGAACTCAAGTTGGGCTTTTTCCTTCTTAACTTCCTCCCCGCCTACCTTAGCTACTTCTTTGTAATCTCCCCAAGCAGCCTGTCCCTTCTTCCAGAGGATGTAGACTCTCTTTTTCTCCTTGAGTCTCAACAGTAATTCCCGGCTCATCCACACCAGTTGTCTTCCCCTGCGGCTTGCTTTACGGCACTCAGGGACAGCCTGTTCTTGTGCCTTTAAGATTTCGGTCTTGAGGAGCGTCCAGGCTTCCTGGGCCCCTTTCCCCTTGAGAAGCGACTCCCAAGGGACCCGCGCTACAAGCTCCCTGAACAGGTCAAAGTCTGCCCTCTGGAAGTTCAAGAAGGTAGTTCTGCTGACCACTCTTTTGACATCCCCAAGAATGGAGAATTCTACAATTCTGTGGTCACTCTGCCCAAGACAGTCCCCAACTTTCACTTCTCCCACCAGTCCTTCTCTGTTAGCGAAGACCAGGTCCAGCAGGGCACCGCCCCTGGTAGGCTCTCCTACCAGTTGCGTAAGGAAGCAATCTTCCACACAGTCTAGAAACCTCCTGGACTGCTTCCTCTGCGCTATATTATATTTCCAACATATATCAGGGAAGTTGAAGTCTCCCATCAGAACAAGTGCTGGTGATAGCGTGACTTCGGCGAGCTGCTCATAGAATGCCTCATCCAACTCTTTGTCCTGATTAGGTGGTCTATAACAGACCCCCACCAAGATGCCACCCTACAGGCCTTCCCCCTGATCCTTACCCATAGACACTCCACTCTATCATTCCCAACCCCAAGCTCTTCTACATCGAAACAGTCTTTAATATAAAGGGCCACACCACCACCCTTCTTTCCTCATCTATCCCTTCTGAAGAGCTTGTAACCATCTGTGTCAGCACTCCAGTCATGGGAACGGTCCCACCATGTTTTGGAAATAGCAACAAGGTCATAATTAGCCTGACTCACAATCATTTCCAACTCTTCCCGCTTGAGCTTGTTGCTCGTGCTGCGTGCATTGGTATAGACACATTTCAGACAAGTCATCTGCCTCATCTCCTGCTGGAGCATCTTTCCCCTAGGCTCATCTCTTGAGAGGCCTGTTTTGTCCCCTTCCCCCTTCATAGCTAGTTTAAAGCTCTTTCAATAAGCCCCGCTAGTTCCTGAGCTAGTATTCGCTACCCCCTTCGAGATAGGTGGGTTCCACAGGCAGACAGCAGGCCAGGGGCCGAGTAAACTACCCCATGATCAAAGAACCCAAAGTTTCTGGCTCGACACCAGCCTCCGAGCCAATTATTCATCGCTTGTGCTTTTCTATCCCGCTTGGAGTCCCTCATTGGCCCTGAAGGTATAGAGCAGAAGATCACTTGAGCTCCCGCTCCATGGACTAAACGCCCTAAACCCCTGAAATCTTTTTTCATTGTGCGTAGGCTCGTCTGAGTGATTTCATCGCTGCCTACCTGAACTACGAGTAGCAGAAAATAGTCAGTTGACCTAACCAGTTTTGGGAGTTGCCTGGTTATGTCCCTGACCCAAGCCCCAGGAAGGCAGCACACTTCCCAACGGCCCAGGTCAGGTCTGCATATGGGGCCCTCGGTTCCTCTGAGAAGGGAGTCACCCACCACAACCACCCTTCTTTCTTTACTATCAGAGGCAGTCTCAAGGTGTGGGGGTGACCTCCTTGCCCTGGGCTCTCTCCTAGGCTGATCCTGCAGCGCCTCTCCAGTCACTTCCTCTTCAACTTCCAGCATCTGGAACCTGTTACTTAGAGGGAGTTGTGGAGGCAGGCTAGGTAGGCGGGGGTGTCTCCTGTGACACCGAGTTGGGACTCTTTTCCAACCTTCCTCATCAGTGAGGTCTGTCTGACTGTGACAGGGCAGGGGGTCCACCACCTGTCTGGGTTTTTTTTCCCAGGGCCCTTCCCCCAGGTAAGCCAGTGAGTCACTCCACCAGTTGATCTCCCACTCACACTCCCTGATAGTCCTAAGTCTCTGCACCTCATCCTTGAGCTCCACCACCAGGCTGAGAAGCTCATCCACCTGCTCACACCTCGCACAGGTTAAGTCCCTGTCACTCTCCCCGGGCAGAAGTAGGCTCAGGCACTCCCTACAGCCAGAGGCCTGAACAGCAACATTTCTTACTAAGGTTTCAGTCTGGGTTGCAACAGTCTTCTTGGAATAAGTCTGCTATCTAGCAAAGACCATGTTTCAGCCTGTAGTCTCAGAGACTGTCAAGGAAATCCAGTCTCCTGAGCAAAGAGGAACCTCCCCTTTCCCAATGAAAAGAAACAACAGTTCCTCACCTGATGGGACTCATGGGGGGAAGCTAGTTTCCCCCCTCCCAGGAGCTATTTAAGACTTATTATCAGGTATGAAGGCATGGGCAGGTGTTTAAACCGTGCCGCTAATGTGCCAGCTCCACCCCTGGTAACTCAGGAGCCTGCCTACAAGCTGCCAGCTCCCAGTTCAAGTGCAGTGCTGATGCTAGCCTCAAAAAAAATCCTGAAAAAGCCTTAAAAAAGCCTTAAAAAGAGCTTTTTTGTTGGCTTTTTCTTACTCTGATCCCTTGCCCACACAGACTTACCTGCTCAGAAGCAAGTTTCCGCAGCAAATGGACCTGGTTGAACCATAAAACAAAATCTCTAAGTCAGATCTAGAGGTTCCACTTATGGTGGATTCTTTAGAACTCCATCCTATTATAACCCAAAAGACGAAGAAAGTACAAGAGAGAGACCAGCAGGGGTGCCCCCTAACCAATGGCCCCCTGCTGAAACGCATTTACATGTAACGGCTAGTCCATATACACCAACAGAACTGATGGATATGGTGCAGCGATTTTGGTAGAGGCCAAGAGAGAGTATACCTGCATGGTTACTTAGATTATAGGATTCAGGGGCAGAAAGCATCACGGTTAATGGGCCAGAAATATCAAAGCTGGCCACCGTAACAGTATACCCTGCTGTCAGGCAGAGACTATATGCTGCTGTCCAGTATAGCAATGAGAGTCATTCAATAACAGACTGGTTAATGGCAGCATGTCGCATGGTTTGGCCAAACAAAACAGATATTCCATTAAACGCAGGATTATGGTCCGCCATGGAAGATCTTCAAAATTATATTCATGAATTAGGCATGAGAGAAGCTATATACGAGGACTCATTTGATAGCCCAGATATTGTGAAGTTTTTAGCAGATATGTGAGATTTAATCTTACAACAGGCCCCTTCTCACCTATATGGGACCTTAGTCTCTATATTAAACCTTCTGGTGACCTTGGAAGCTGTGGTTCAACAGGTTACCCAGTTAGTAGCTGATCTGGGGGAGACAGAGCGTCTACACACTAGGCACAATATCTGAGTAATAGAAGAAGCAGAGGTGCTTCCAGTAGTTAAAACCAAGAGGCCACCTGTGTGGAACTTTCAGTCAGAGCCCATAAGGGTCTCGCGAAAAAAAAAAAAAGCTTAACAACCTTATTTGGGCTGGGGTTCGATTTGCAAAGATTAACCGCTAGCCCAATCACATCCTCCTTCAGCTGTGGAGACTAAGAGATAACTCTTCACTTTTTTTGAATCATAAGTTGCTTAAGTGTTGTGAGTGCCAAGAAACTCAGATGTTAACCCTAATCAAGAAACTAGTGATTGGAAAGGACTTCCCAGGTGGGCGAGATGGGTTTGCATTTACGTGGGGAGGCAGGCAGTGGACCTTTCAGGTCCTGCCACAGGGGTACGTGCATTCACCAACATATTGTCAAAATCTAGTGGCGCGTGACCTGGCTGATTGGACAAAACCTGATGATGTTAACCTATATCATTATATTGATGATCTCCTGTTGACATCCGACTCACTGGAGGCAGTAGGACAGGCAGCAGATTCATTAACCGCCTATTGACAACAGAGGGGATGGGCTATAAATCCCCAAAAGGTGCAAGGTCCAGGCCTGTCCGTAAAATTCCTGGGGGTGGTTTGGTCAGGAAAGACCAAAGTGCTACCCAGTGCTGTTATAGATAAGGTTCAGGCGTTCCCAGTCCCTACAACATCAAAGCAGCTGCAAGAGTTTCTAGGTATATTGGGTTATTGGCATTCCTTTATACCTCACCTAGCACAGCTGCTAAGGCCACTCTTTAGACTCACAAAAAAGGGGCAGCTATGGGATTGGGGGAAAACAGAACAGGATGCTTTCCAACAAGCAAAACTGGCAGTTAAACAAGCTCAGGCATTGTGCATATTTGATCCTACCCTCCCAGCCGAGTTGGACGTTCACGTTACTCAAGACTGCTTCGGTTGGGGCCTGTGGCAACGCCAGAGTTCTGTTCGGACCCCCATAGGTTTCTGGTCTCAGGTTTGGCACGGAGCAGAAGAAAGATACAGTATGATTGACAAACAGTTATTGGCTGCCTGTTCGGCATTACAGGCAGTAGAGCCAATAACTCAAACAGCTGCAGTTATAGTCAAGACCACTCTGCCGATTCGGGGGTGAATGAAAGATCTGACCCACCTTCCTAAGACAGGGGTGGCCCAAGCACAAACAGTGGCACGATGGGTCGCCTATCTCAGCCAAAGGAGCAGTCTGTCTTCATCCCCCTTGAAAGAAGAACTCCAGAAGATCCTAGGGCCAGTGACGTATCACAGTGATGCACCAAAAGAAATACTGGTCGCTCCACCAGAGAAGAGTCCCATTCAGGAGGGAAAATATCCTGTCCCTGAAGATGCCTGGTACACAGATGGGTCTAGCAAGAGCAACCTGAGCAAGTGGAGAGCAATAGCATACCATCCCTCTACTGAAAAAATCTGGTTTGATGAGAGGGATGGTCAGAGCTGCCAATGGGCAGAACTGCGAGCCGTGTGGATGGTTATAACCAAGGAACCCTGTGATGGTATCCTTAATATCTGCACAGACAGTTGGGCTGTGTACCGGGGGCTCACTCTTTGGATTGCACAGTGGGCCACCCAGGAATGGACTATCCACGCCCGACCGATCTGGGGCAAAGACATGTGGTTAGATATATGGAATACAGTCAAACACAGGACTTTGTGTCTACCATGTTTTTGGTCATCAGCCCCTACAGTCACCGGGAAACGATGAAGCCGACACGCTGGCCCGAGTTCGATGGATTGAGAATTCACCATCTGAGAACATTGCCCGTTGGTTTCATCAGAAGCTACAGCATGCTGAACAAAAGACAATGTGGGCAGCTGCTAAAGCATGGGGACTGCCCATACAACTATCTGATATCGTCCAGGCATGCCAGGATTGCGACGCTTGCTCAAAAATGAGACCGAGATCGTTGCCCGAAACAACAGCCCATCTTGCTAGGGGACACAATCCTCTCCAGCGATGGCAGGTCGATTACATCAGGCCCCTTCCTCGTTCCGAAGGGGCAAGATACGCCCTGACCTGTGTCGACCCTGCAAGTGGGCTGCTGCAGGCCTATCCAGTACCGAAAGCAAACCAGGCATATACCATCAAGGCACTCACTAAACTGATGTCTGCCTACGGGACACCAAGTCACTGTGAGTGACCCAGGGATTCATTTTACTGGTGCAACGATACAGCGCTGGGCAGAAGAAAATAACATCGAATGGCGATTCCACCTGCTGTATAATCCAACGGGGGCAGGCCTCATCAAACGTTATAATGGTATTCTTAAAGGCTGCCTTGAAGACAGACTCCCAGTCCCTGCAGGGGTGGATAAAAAGACTGTATGAAACCTTGCGGGACCTGAATGAAAGACCCCGACACAGCAGACCCAGTGCCCTGAGAATGTTGCAGACAACATGGGCCACCCCGTTTAGGATCCAAATTATAGGCACTTATCGTCAGATAAGACCCCAGATTGGTACTGAAAATAATATTCTGCTCCCTGCCCCTGAGAATTTAGATCCTGGCACCCATAGAATAAAATGGCCCTGGAAGGTACAGGTAGGACCCAAGTGGTATGGCCTACTTGCACCTTGGGGGAGACTATTGGAGGTGGGAGGCTCAGTAGTCCCTCCAGTAATAGGTGCATGGCCTACTGATATTGTGGTCAACGCTCCGATTTTCATTGCTAAAGGGACCCCCATCATGTCCCTGTGGCAGATCAGGACACCTCCTTTGGTGCCTGATATCATTATGCAGCCACAGGCATCTGGCCAGAAGGTGTGGTATAGGCAGCCAGGGTGTGCCGCAGTACAAGCTAAAGTGTTGACCCAGGGTAAAAATATGTCCTGTATCTTGCCCTGGAGGGCAGACCTGCCCCTCCTGGTACCTCTGAAACATCTGTATTAGTCCCTGTGAGTCTTTGAGCCTTCAGGATCACCGGAAGGAATGAAATGTCATCAAAAGCGTTCCATTATTACTATCGGATCATGTGTAACACCCAGTGATGGTCTATATGGGACTGATGGAACATAGAACGGACCTGCACCTCACAACTGCATGCCTCGGGTAACATCATCAAGCACTGGCTCATAGAAGAATATCAACGTTCACCGATTATCACTCATTTTAAATTTTACTAACGTGTCGTGATGAAAATGTATATGTGTCACGGTATATTGGATCTCTGTATTATGAAAAGCTCACCCTGTGGTTAACCCAATCATTGCTTCACGCCATGAAGGGGTGGAGTGTATGGGGTTGCTGGATCAGGGCCTGAACCTCTGATTAATCACCTGAGGTGAGCACTGAGTTAGCCACGGGAGCACAGGTGAAGGCAATTCACCTGTGCTGCAGGAAGGGGTGGAACCAGGCTCCACCTCTCCTAGACCCATTTAAGAACTGGCTGCCAGTGATTGCAGATCTGTTCTTATGAGTCTCTTATGAGTCTTGAAAGGCAAATGGGATCCTGGGCTCCATCAGGAGAGGGGTGGTCAGCAGGGACAGGGAGGTGATTGTCCCTCTGTGCTCTGCTCTTGTGAGGCCCCATTTGGAGTACTGTGTCCAGGTGTGGAGCCTTCAGTACAAGAAAGACATTGAGATTTTGGAAAGGGTCCAGAGGAGGGCGACTAAGATGATCAGGGCGCTGGAGCACCTCCCCTATGAGGACAGGCTGAGGGAGTTGGGCTTGTTCAGCCTGGAGAAGAGAAGGCTGCGGGGTGACCTCATTGCAGCCTATCAATACCTGAAGGGAACCTACACCCAGGAGGGGAGTAAACTCTTCAAAAGGGCTGACAACAGCAGGACTAGGGGAAATGGATCCAAGTTGAAGGAGGGAAGATTTAGGTTGGATGTTAGGGGGAAGTTCTATACAAGGAGAGTGGTTAGGCCCTGGAACGGGTTGCCCAGGGAGGTTGTGGATGCCCCGTCCTTGGATGTGTTTAAGGCCAGGTTGGACGGGGTCCTGGGCAACCTGATCTGAATGTGTGTGTTTGGTGGCCCTGCTAGGCAGGGGGGTTGGAACTACATGATCCTTGAGGTCCCTTCCAACCCGGGTGATTCTGTGATTCTGTGATTCTGAGTTTCTTCACTGGAGTTTGTTATGTAAGTCTGGGTTTGGGTAAGTGTTTTTTTTTTTCTTTAGTATGGTTTTCTAGTTATTTCAGACTAACTCTTGTCTGTTCTTTACCATCTGTATGTTTGTTGATTGTATAGTAACTTAGTATAATTATGATTTAATGAAAGTGTATTTATTTATTTTAGGTTGCTCGTATTGGAATCTGCAGCTTCTTCAGGAGACACATCCTATCCACACCACATTGTATCTGTGGTTCCAAACCGTTATCCCCGCTGGTTCAATCTAAGCCATGTTGAATCTCAGCAGTGTGAGCTGGCATTGACTGTGCTGTCAGCAGCTAAAGGTACAGTTCTGTTGGTTATGTATGGTTATGTATAAATGCATGCTTTTAATATTATATGTAGTAAACAGTTTAAAATTTGTGTTTTTGAATCCGAATTGCTGTCTGCTAAGCTTGAAGTGAGTGCAACTAGCTCAACTGACTTAAACTTATAATTAATCTTCTAGTGAAGTAGTTAAGCTAGCTAAATGGTAGCTATGTAAACTTGATTTAATGATGAGACAGTGTTTTTTTTTTTTGTTTTTTGTTTTTTTTTTTTCTGACACACAATGTGGATTGTGAGACCTGGGAATGGGCAAATTCCTTCTAAAATTGACAAATCAAGTTGACTTTTTAGCATGCATTGCTTAAACACTACCTGGTGCTAGAGGAGTTTGTGTTGTCTTGTATCTTTTGTTCATATGTGATTTTTATTATGGTAAGTTTATGAAAAGTGTACAACTGAAATATCGTACTATTGCTGCAGCAGTGGCAGGCTTGATTATAGAATCATTGAATTATTTAGATTGGATAAGACCTTTAAAATAATCAAATCCAACCATTAACTTAGCACCTTCTAAGTCTATTACTAAACCCTGTCCCTAAGCACTACATCTACACATCTTTTAAACATCTTCAGGAATGGTGACTCAACTACTTCACTGGGCAGCCTGTTCTAATGCTTTACAACCTTCTCAGTGAGTAATTTCTTCCTAGTATTCAACCTAAACCTCCTCTGGTACAGCTTGAGGCTGTTTCCTTTTGTCCTGTTACTTGTTGCTTGGGAGAAGAGACTGACCTCCACCTCACTACAACCTCCTTTGAGGTTGTAGAGAGCAGTAAGGTCTCCCCTGAGCCTACTTTTCTCTAGGCTAAATAACCCTGAGTCACTCAGCCACTTCTCATAAGACTTGTTCTCTAGACCTTTCACCACCAGTTTTGTTCCCCTTCTTTGGCTGTCTCCCAGCCCCTCAATATATTGTAGTGAAGGGGCCAGAATTGAACACTATTCAAGGTGCAGCCTCACCAGGGCTGAGTACAGGGAGGCAAGCACTTCTCTTGTTCTGCTGGCTATGCTATTTCTGATACATGCTGGGGTATGGATGCTATTGGCCTTCTTGGCTGCCTGGGCATACTGCTGCCTCATATTCAGCTGGTTATCCACCAGTATCTCCAGATCCTTTTCCACCAAGCAGCTTTCCAGCCACTCTTCCCTCAGCCTGTACCATTGCATGGAGTTGTGACTGAAGTGCAGGACCTGGCACTTAACCTTATTGAACCTCATACAGGTGGCCCCAGCCCACTGATCTAGCTTATCCAGAACCCTCTGTAAGCTTTCCTACTCTCAAGCAGATCAATGCTCCCATCTAACTTGGTGTAACTTGCAAACTTACTGAGGAAGCACTCAATCCCCTTGTCAAGATCTGGGCTTGGCCACCCAGGGTGTTTTTTACCCAGAAAAGTGCATGCCTGTCCGAACCATGAGCAGACAGTTTCTCCAGGAGAATGCTGTGGGAAGCAGTGTCAAAAGCTTTACTTAGCTCTTGGTAGGCAACATCCACAGCCTTTCCCTCATTCACTAAGTAGGTAACTTTGTTATAGAAGGAGTTTAGGATAGTCAAGCAGTACCTACTTTTAATAAATCCATGCTGATGGTCTGATTACCTGTTTGTCCTGTGTGTGCCATGTGATGGCACTCAAGATGATATGTTCTATAACCTTTACCAGCACTGAAGTCGGACTGACAGGCCTGTAGCTCCCCAAGTCCTCTTTTTGGCTCTTCTTGTAGATGAATGTAATATGTAATGCATCTCTGGATGTTTGGGGAAATTGTTTTGTTTTTTTGATTCTGTTTACATCTTGCAGGTGATGTTCAGAGGCTGGAAACAGTGTTACAGTCTATCCAGAAAAATATCCACTCCTCATCACACATTTTCAAACTTGCCCAGGATGCATTTAAAATAGCAACACTCATGGACAGCTTGCCAGACATCACTCTTCTGAAAGTTTCTTTGGAACTGGGCCTTCAGGTATTTGCCTTCTTCATTATTACTACACCAGAAGACAGGAATTTGACTCAGTGTTGGTGGGTGCAGTTCTTTAAGTCACTGAAGACCATACCATCTCAGGCTCAGTCTGGGTTTTTTAGATTGTTTGCTGATGTAAAGCACAGTTGACTGGTAAACACAGAACAAAGGTCTTTTCAGTCTCAGGTTCAGGTGGAAAGAGCTGGAAGTGGCTGACTGCAGGGCATTTTTCTGTTCAGGAGTGAGTGAAGGGTGCAATGGATTTAGGGGTGTAAGCTGAGATGACCAGAGAGCAAAATTATACTGCTGGCCAGAAATGTGCTAGATCTCTTTCATGGCCTTGACGGACCTTGTACTATTCCTCCTTCCCTTCCTTTTTTTCCTCGAAGAAGATTTGGCTGATGTTTACTGAATTACTATAGAAACCCAAGTTCAACCATAATGTTCTGTTTCTAAGGCAGACTATGCTAACAGCAACCCTCTTGCTTCCTTCATCAAGCCCTGCACTCCACATGCTTTGAGGTGGTCATCTGCATTAGACTTAGCCTGAGATGTACAAGAGCCTCAGATCGGTTTTAAGGCTCTTAGCAGAGAGACTTTACAAGCTAAAAGGAGACAGCTAAATTTTAGGTATCTGGAGTAATATTGACTTACGCTGATGAATCCTGGACTTTACACAGTTCGTTTCAACCAAAATAAATTTCTTAATCTCTCTTCAGGGAGTTCTCCAAGAAAAAAAACAAACATGCAAAGATCAGGAAACCACTTATTACTTTGCTTCGGTAAACAAAGCTCCAAAAACCTATAGGGAAAGGATATTCTTCCAATTGCTTCTCATATAAAAGAAAAGTACTACTTGCCTATTCCAGACTTTTAGAAGCTAAAATATTGAATTGGAAAGATGAGTTTCTGTATGTATTGTTAGTCTTTCATATTCTTAAGGTTGCTGTGGAAACCTGCTGGGTTTTTTTTTTTCTGCATCTTAATGTGTTTCTGCCTTAAATGCTTGCTTGTGAGAGAAAGAACTTTGACCTGTGAGTCAACTCAAGCACTGGTCAAGCATCATTCAGTATTAGTAGTGCACTTTGGATTTCACTGTAATCATGGATACCCATATGGTTGATGATGTCATCAGAATGTCTTCAGTGAGATCCAGTGAAGGAAATATTATGACAGAACTAAGAAAATCAATGAATGGTTAAGGGAGTGGTGTCACAAACAGGACTTACGCTATTTATGTCATGGGAATAGTCTTGAAAAACCTGGTTTTCTGGGGAAGGATGGGGTTATCTCAGTGAAGGGGAAGACCATCATTGGCAACATGCTTTCCAATTTAATCAGGAGGGCTTTAAACTTGAGTTGCCAGAAGAGAGGATCCTCAAACCATCGCACTTTGAGGCTGATGATGGTAATGGATGCTCCAGGCCTGGAGTTGGATCACAGGCCAGTAAGACAGCACCTAAGGTTCAGGATAAGGGACCTCCAATTGACAAATCAGCCTCAATGGGAGCCCAACTCAAATGCCTGTACACGAATGCATGGAGCATGGGGAACAAGCAAGAAGAGTTACAGGCATGTGCATGCCTACAGGGCTATGAGGTCGTTGTCATCACTGAGACACGGTGAGATGGCTCTCATGACTGGAATGTAGGAACAGATGGATATAAACTTTAGAAAAGACAGATAGGAGAAGGGGAGGGGGTGTTGTCCTCTACATCAAGAACCAACTGGAGTCCATGGAGCGCCACCTGGGGATAGATGAGGAGTTGACAGAGCGCTTATGGGTTAGGGTCAAACAGAAGGCAGGGGAAGGAGACATTGTAGTGGGGGTCTGCTACAGGCTGCCCAATCAGTAAGACCAAGTGGATGAGGCCCTCTATAAACAGACAGGAGCAACTTCATGTTCACAAAACATGGTCTTCATGGGGGACTTCAACTACCCTGATATCTGTTGGAAGGACGACACAGCAAGGCACTAGCAATTGAAGAGGTTCCTGAACTGTATTAATGATAGCTTCCTCTTTCAAGTTGTACAGGAACCCAAGAGAAAAGGTGCTATGCTGGACCTTGTCCTCACCAATGAGGAAAGGCTGGTGAGTAGTGTGAAGCTCAAGGGCAGGCTTGGCTGCAGTGACCAGGAAATGGTGAAGTTCAAGATTCTTAGGGTGTCAAAGAGGGTGTACAGCAAGCTTGCTACTCTAGACTTTAGGAGAGTGGACTTCAACCTCTTCAGGGAACTGCTTGTCAGGATGGCATGGTAGAAAGCCCTGGAGGGAAGAGGAGCCTAAGAAAGCTGGTCAATATTCAGAGACCATCTCCTCCAAGCCCAGAAGCAGTGTATCCTGAGAAAAAGGAAGGAAGGCAGGCAAGAATGCCAGGGGGCCTCCATGGATGAACAAGATGCTCCTGGACTTCCTGAAGTTCAAAAAAGAAAGTCTATAGGGAGTAGAAGCAGGAGCAGGTTGCCTAGGAGGACTACAAGGAAGTTGTCTGAGCCATCAGGGGTCAGGTTAGGAAAGCTAAAACCCAGACAGAATTAAATCTAGCCAGTGACATAAAGGGGAACTAGAAGAAATTCTACAGGTATATCAGTGATAAAAAGAAGGTCAAGGGAAGATGTGAGCCCTCTCCAGATGGAAAATGGAGAGTTGGTCAGGAGGGATACGGAGAAAGCTGAGGTGCTCAATGACTTCTTTGTCTCAGTCTTCACGGGCAAGGGCTCTAGTCCCACGGCCCAAGTTGCAGAAAGCAAGAGAAAGAACTGAGAGAAGGAAGATATGCCCATTTGTCATGGTTTTATGATTTTTTTTTTTTTTTTGGATCAGTATTCCACATTGTAACATCATGCAGTGCTGGGAGTTAGAGTTAATGCTGCAGTTCCATGGATTGTCAATAATTCCAGTTACCTGGTCTCAGAAGAGAATGAATTGCAACTCCTAGAAAACTTCATTTTTCTATTTTCCATTCGGAGGGAAAAATAAAACTGTTTTTTCTCTCTGTGCTCCTGGCTGTCTTGTCTACAGAATTAGAGTACAGACTTCAGTTTTGGACACTATCTTATTTTGATTTATTAGCTTCAATTCCAGTCATACTGTATTATTTCATATTCCACTATTATATTTAGTAAATTAAGTTTTTCCCTTAGCTTGTTGCCCATTTTCCTTATTTAGGCTGATCTCCTTTTTTTTCCCTTCCCGGGGCATGGGTCCCTTCACCCCCTGCTGTAGAACTAGGCCAGACGGTGACATTTTTTGGTGCATTGGCTGGGAAAACAAACTTCAAAAGCAAAGCTCTGTGAACTCTAACTCTTGGAGAGTTTTGTTAGAAAGCTTAGCTGCAGCTTGCAGACCTTAATTTTTGGGTGTGGAGCCAACATTCTGAGTGCTGTACCAATTTTTTTGTTTGTTTGTTTTTTGACACCATGACAGTTTTGTTTTTTTTTTTTTTTTTTTTTTTTTTTCCTCCTTCTCTCCAAGGAGACAGAAAAGAGAAAAAAGAGAATTGTGAAATAGATCTGTAAGGGATTACATTCCATCATGTTCTGGATTTCAGTACTTAGAACACACTGGACCTTTATTAAGTCTGCAACTCTACTCTATGGAGCTGTATGCATATGTAAAAAAACTAGAAGCGAAGGTGGAAACACCTATCTCGTGCCTGCATACAACGTGATATGGTTTAAACACTGACTTTTAAACAGGCTTCTGGTCTCTCCCTTGAATCCCTTATATGTTTTCAGAGTATTAATCAATGACCACGTGGTCAACCTCCCTGAATGTACTCCTCATCATTTTGCTCAATATCTGTATTTATAGTATTTTGAGGAAGACTTCCCCAAAGCCAGAGAATACTGAGTGAGAGGGAGTATGGAGGGACATGGATGAGACTTCAAAGATGTGGGCATTGCCAGTGTCATGGTACTTAACTCCTGAACACCTGCAAGACCCTGAGAACCTAAGCAGATATTTGAGACAGGGATGTCGCGGCTCAGGCAGATCTGAGGAGGCACAAATGATTTGGGGCCTGGCTGATGCTTATCAGGCCTTATTTAATACTATCCCAGAAAGGGAGATGGTTTCTTAAACTTCTTAGCTTTAAACTAGATAGGAAACGGTAAGAGGATAAAGCTGGGCCTGCTAGAGAACAGCCTGGGGAAGTGGTATTGGGATCAGGTGAGAGGTGAGGGGCTCAGTTGAGGTGCGTCTACACTAATGCACGCAGCATGGGCAACAAACAAGAAGAGTTGGAAGCCATTGTGCAGCAGGCAAACTATGACCTAGTTGCCATAATGGAAACGTGGTGGGATTGCTCCCATGACTGGAGCACTGCAATGAATGGCTACAAACTCTTCAGGAAAGATAGGCAAGGAAGGTGGGGTGGTGGTGTGGCTCTCTACGTTAGGGAATGCTTTTATGCTACTGAGATTGTGACTGGGGGCGATAACATTGAATCCCTATGGGTAAAGATCAGAGGATGGACTGACAAGACAGGCACCCTGGTGGGTGTCTGTTATAGACCTCCAAACCAGGATGAAGAGACAGACGAGGTATTCTGTAAGCAGTTGGCACGAGCTGCACAGTCGCCAGCCCTTGTCCTCATGGGGGACTTTAACTTCCCTGACATATGCTGGGAGTACAGCACAGCACAGAAGAAGCAGTCTAGGAGGTTTCTGGAATGCATAGAGGACAACTTCCTGATGCAGCTGGTCAGAGAGCCCATGAGAGGAACTGCCCCACTAGACCTGCTGTTCACAAACAGGGAAGGTCTGGTGGGAGATGTGGAGGTTGGAGGCTGGCTTGGACAGAGTGACCATGAAATGATAGACTTTATGATTCATGGTGGAGCCTGGAGGGGAAATAGTAAAACCGCTACCTTGGACTTCAGGAGGGCGGACTTTGAATTGTTCAAGGGGCTAATAGGGGGAGTCCCCTGGCATTCAGTCTTAGCAAGTAAAGGGGTCCAAGAGAGCTGGTTGCTCTTCAAGAAGGAAGTCTTAAGGGCGC